GAGAGAGAGAGAGAGAGAGAGAGAGAGAGAGAGAGAGAGAGAGAGAGGAGGAAGAATAAGATAGAGATAGGCAGAGAAGATGAAGAGCAGCATGGACAGAGTGAGTGGGTGCATGTGAGTGGGAAAGTGTGATCACAGCTTCAAGACAAGACAGAATTTTGGTCTGCATAATACTAAAACCACAAGAGAAACAGAAGGGCTTAAAGCTGCATTAATATACTGAAAATCATGTAAAGGTTTATAGTATACAAGCTGTAGCATTAGTTTTTGTCTTCCTTTTGTTTAATAGACCCTTTTACAGCCGACGTCAACAAACATATGCATGCTTATGTTGGCAACAGGAGAGGCATTTTGCCCCAGAGTCAGCAAGTTATAAACATTAAATTCAAACTAGTATCAAAATGTTTTGTTGTTTGGTTATTTGATTGTCACAATCAATATCCCAACAGCAGACTCAAGTTCTACAGGGTGACAACTGTTTCTGTTACAGTTTAACAAGTGGCCGCGTTAACTGGTGACTTTCAGCCAAATTCATGACTTTAAGCTGTGTCCTCATAAAAGCCTAAAATTTTACTTTAATGAATTTTAAATGCATACTTATCTGTGTTTATTATCTACAAGCCAACCGTTTATGTAAGTTACTACGAGTAACCACTGATGCATTTGTCTTACAATGAATAAATACAAAAACAATGAATGTGATGCAAAAACAGCTTTTAACTATATCAGATAAATGAAGTAAAATGGAGTAAAAAGTTAAATATTTCCCTCTGAAATGTTGTAAACTAGAAGTATAAAGCAGCGTAACTTTGAAAAAGTCAAATAAAGTGCAAGTTCATCTATATATATCAAAATATATTTAGTTACACTCCACCACTGCCCATGTGCTGAGACCTGGTCCTGGTTTCAGATTCAGTTGCTTTCTTTGCCAAGTGTGCAGCTGCATCATCAACTCAAGTTAGCAGCAGTTAGTCAGTAAAACAAAAATATGATGATGCATGATGTAATGATGATAAACACGCTGAAATAAATGGAAGGTCTGACTTAATATAAATTGTGTCACAAATGATCAGATGGAGAATACAGTATAAGATATTTCCCATAAAAAGACAAGATTGGAAATATGTGAAAAAATCGAATAATGTTATATTATAGGCTTATAATATAACATTTTTCATCATGAACAATCACTTCTTCTTTTGATAATCAAAGTACATTTAGATGATAATACTTCTGTAATTTTACTTAAGTAGGATTTTGAATGGAGTACTTTTACTTGTGCCTTTTTGTAATTTTACCACTAAGCACTGATCAGAATACTATAATGAACAAGCATGAATTTGAAGGAAAAAACATCTGGCGTTTGTGCTTTTATATTTTGTCAGTGAAACAATGTTATCATTGTACAAAGACATTCAAACCATCAACTGGGCATTCATTTAGACTTACTAAGCTCTCTGAACAGTAGAGGGCACCACAAACACTCAACTGCTGTGCAACATTTGAGGTTTATAAAAAGTTGCAAGGCGGTCTGTGACTTGATTTTTAATAAAGCACAGTTTACACTATTGCATTACTAACAGTACAAACGTGTTTGTAATATAGGGTGGAACTGTGGGAAAACTGTACAGCACCATGTAGCATTCTGAAGATCCTTGTAGGTATGAATGTGTGACGAGCCCGAATGGGCCGGCCGGTTACAAGCTGTAGGATCAATCCTATTCCTGCAGGTATACAGATCAATAACAAGCATGGCTGCCTCAGTAAAACCTCCAACTATCTGAAGCTTCTCAGGACGAAAGCAAAGTCATTACACAAGTTTAAATCTCAATTATTTTCTGATAATTATATCAGTGTTGACTGTGGGAATATTCCTCCAGCACTCCATCCTTATCCTCCAGATAACTAACCTTCATTCTCTCCTGCTGTGATTGTGATTCATTTTAGATCGTTTGCCTGCACGCTTTATGGGGACTGTGAGTGTGTGTAGGCCAGTGTGTGCATCTCTGTGTGACAGACAGACACACATTTTCATCCTCTTTTACTGTCTTAGTCAAAGTCTTCGACATTCCCCTCCCTTTGACTCCACTCTCTTTCACCACGCTGCTGTAACACACACACGCACACGCACACACACACACACACACACACACACACACACACACACACACACGTACCAATCCATCCAAACTGATGCACAGGCTCTCACACACAAGCACATGCACACCCTTCCCAGTACCCCATCTCCTAGGGAACACAGGGATGTCTCTATGGCAACAAGCTGCTTGCTCCACTAATGAACCGGTTGCCGTGGCGACCGGGTTGCCTGTGCGCGAACAGAGACACTGAATAAAATAGAGGGAGAAAATGTTATGTTACTCCTCTGCAAAAAACACACAACCCACAGAGCAGTCTACCAGCCCCTCTGCTCAGCACACACACACACACACACACACACACACACACACACACACATACACACGTGTCTAGTATGTGTATGTATGTAAGCGATTAAGACGAATGTTCTGGGTTAGAAGACGTATTGGCCAGAGAGAAGAGCCCATGCAGTAATGCAGTAAGAGGCAGGGATCCTTGCAGCTGCATCGGCCAATCATCCTGCTGCTGCCTCAAGGTCAGAGAACAACCCGACTCCACTCTGGGCAATGAGAGGAAGAGAGAGGTGGAGAGAGGTGGAGAGAGGAAGAGAGGAGACAGAGAGAGAGACAGGGAGGGAGGAGAGAGAGAAAGAGAGGTGCCAAAAAACCTTCTGTCAGCCATCTGTGTAGTGAGTAACATCCCACTTTGTTGACTGAGCCTCTGAGCCGTTGTGCATTTGGCCATTCACGACCCCAGCGGAGACACTTAAAGCTGCACCAAATTGCCATTCAAATCCTTTCTGCAGACTGTGGAGCCCGGGAATCTCCAACTTTACTCCGAGGCTGTACACGGACTCCAAAGATAGACTTTGGTCACAAAATAATTCATGGGACAGGAAATAAGAAAGATCGTACGGTATACAAAATGTATAATCTTTTTTCCCCAGACTTATTAACGGTCAGTGTTGCTTTAGTTGAACCCAGTCATGCTTCTACAAATTATTCAAATGACGCCAGTGGTGGAAGATTAAAGGTTCTCTATACGATATTCAGATTAATTCAGCATCAGACAACTTGCATTGTAAATATATTGTGGAGTAATGTCTCCCTTTGTGTGTGTTGTAATCCAAGCCTCTCCAGGCCCGCCATACGTGCCTTTTAGCGTGTTAGTGCATGTGAATGTGCCCCACTGGGTTAGCTCATGGCCGCTGCTCTGCACTGTGAAAATAATGAATACTTTTACCTCCAGGGCCTTGACCAGTTATTTGAATAAAACCACCTGATACGTTTATAGAGTAAATCTGTTGGAGGACGCAGTGTTTGCTCGTTTATGTCCCCTTTGTGGCTGCCAGCTTGTGAAATGTATTTTTGTGGTTCATTCTGCAACAGAAAGTTCAAAACATCCTAATTTTAGCAGCTTTGCCTTGGTTACGGTTAATTTTAAATGCATAGATGGTTTGGCCACATAAATATCACAGATCATTTCACCCCATACAAGGCAGCTTGCAGCCTATTTTAAGAATAATTGTGGATTTTCCACAATTTAGTGTCCTTTCCTTTTTCTTTAGTTTCATTTAAGTTCTGTTTTAAAATAATGATTTCCTAACAGCTATTTCTTAATTTAGAGTAACAAAAAGTGATCAGGTTGTTTCTATCAAGGCCTTGAGTCTGGCTGCTGCATCTTCATCATCCTTAACACCAGTTCTTAAAACTCAGTTTTACTGATTGTTTTTAATGTGGCTATTATTTATAACTTGTCGACTTTGCTTTTGTTGCCTTTTATAGTCGTTACCTGGTTTTAACTGCTTATGTTGTCTAAGTATTTTGTAATCGTAAACCAAAACTGTTCATAAGATTCTTCAGGTAAGATGTTTGTCATTAATCTAAATCATTTTTATTCCTTTACTCATTCCTTTATACATCTAGAGTATCCCAGTTAACCAATGCTCTGTGAACTTAAAGCTGATCTATGTCTCTTTCTGTCTTTTCTGTAGAAATGTTTGCGGTTTAACCCAGAGGCCACGGTCTGGAAGGCCAAGCAGCAGGTACTGTGCTCCCTGACCGAATCTCTGCGGGACGTCCTGAACTATGGTCTGTTCCAGCCCGCCACGGACGGCCATGATGCCATGTTCCTGGAGGAGGAGAGGCTGCTCAGAGAGTACCCACAGTCCTTTGAGAAAGGGGTACCATATTTGGAGGTACTATTCCAGTCTTCCTTTAACACAGTTTTAAGAATACATAATAGAGAAGTGATGTAGCCTGCATATCCTCATGTCACTGTTATTCAGTAATGCAATGGTCAGAGTCTGAAGGGATGGCCTCCTCTTTGAAAAGTGTGTTCTTTAGATTATCTTAAATGTCAGCTATTTGTACTATGTGGACCTATCAACTGAATCCCAACAGAGTCTTGTATATTACAGCATTAAGATCAGCGCAGTAGATCTGGTTCAACTTCATGTGACCAAGGTTTACTCTACAACTTTTTGTATTTTTAAGGATCCAGGATTACTGAAGTAAAAAACAGCAGCACTTTAAGGCAGCTAGACGACATACTGTAATGTTGCTTGTGTCATCTAAGCTTATAAAAAACCCTGTCTTATGAATTAAGTTTCAACACACTTCTTAGAGGAATGTCACAGAACTGTTTAGTGCAACTGCTGCAAACTCCTGCTAATCTCTTATCCAGTCCGTATAGTCACCTTCTTTCATGCTATATTATGACCCAGTGGAGGCTTTACAGCATCTTTAAACTGCTGTAAAGCGAGACCATTTCTCTCAAATTTCTTGTCTTCAGTGAAGTAGAAGACGGTGTTTGTATAGCAAACCAGATAATGCTTCTCTGTACAATAAATCTGCAGGCCCCATTTTGTGGATCTAGGCCAAAAAGAGAAAAAGAGAATTAAGGACAAATGCCCTCTGTGTTAGGATTAACTCTCCGTTTCCTTCCCCTTCTCCTCTCTCGGGTCTAGTTTCGATACAAAACCAGGGTGTACAAACAGACCAATCTGGATGAGAAGCAACTGGCCAAACTGCACACTAAGGTATGAAACCCAGTTGTCCTGAAGTAGGATCTCTGAAGGGGTTCAACTGCATGTTTCAATCATATAAATGTATTGGCACAGAGTGAGTCTATTTAAATCAAAACAGTGTGCATGTCAGTGTATTTCTGCATGTGAATCTGTGTTTATTTTCCTTTGTTAGTGCATCTATACTGTACAATGCTTCAATGTGCTCTACTGCACTATACCTTGCTTGCACATACAGTATTTCAAAGACAGAGGAGTTCCCTATAATACAGCAGCATGTTTCTCTCTGCATGCAGGCTAGCCTGAAGAAATTCATGGATTACATTCAAACCAGCGCTGTGGACAAGATGGCCAAGTTCTTAGACAAAGGCCTCGATCCCAACTACCAGGATGCTGACACCGGCGGTAAATAGTGCTTCACAGGCCGAGGACTCTTCCCCTACCCTTTCTGACTGTCTACCATCATTCATCCATCCATTACAGACTACTCTCATATTGCAGTCATTTGAAAGTTAAGATCTGAACACATCAAAATCCTCACATTCATGAGATGAACAAATGGCTTAAAACAAGAAGGACGAAATAGGGTTGACGGTGATACTGATTTCCCTCGCTACAGCTCTTTTCATCCATGCATACATCCATCTAAACACCCACATATTGTCAAATCTCTTCTTTCATCTGTGTCTTTCTATTTATTGAATTGTTCTGCCCATCAAACAATTAAGCATGCTGGTGGCAAGCAGCTTTGTGACCTGCAGATCTCCCCCTTTCTCTCCCTTCCGTTTTCTGCCCTCAGCTCTGCAGTATGTTGGTCTCACACTTTGTCAAGGATCTGGGCCAGTGCTGTTTGCAATTTGGTGTCTTTTCTCAGATCCTGTTAGTGCTTAGGGGGCGCAGCAGACTGTTCACTTACAGTCTGGGTGTGCTGCTCTGTGTTGCTCCAGCCGCTGTGGGAGCAAAGTGTCACAACACAAAACACAGCCTGCCATCATGGGTGTGAAACACACTTCCACTTCAGAACACCGGAGGGCAACAGAGAGCCCCGATGAACCCACTCACTAACAGACACTCTACACCTGAACATGATACTTGAGGTGGTTATTGCTTTGGAGTCATCAGGGTTTGATTTTAAACTCTGGTTTCTGTGCTTCTGTACTCAATTTTTAGTATACCAACAAACCAAGGGTAGAAAATTAATTGAATTATTTTGCTCCAATAATTAAAACAGCTCAGGTTTAATGTAAAACTCACTCAGTCCTCGTGTTTAAAATAGCTGTTCAATCAAAATATACAAAAGAATGTCACAGCTTCAAATGGTTTCCTCTATGTTCCTGTCCATGAACTCTTAGGTCGTAGGTATTAGGCCTGCACAAAGAGGTGATCAAAACACTGGATGTAGACACTTTTTTTAAACATTTGACCTGTCTGTCACACTGGAACATTTCTTCATGCTTTTCCACCCAGGCTCACACTGAGTCTTTAATAGGACATCAAATGATTCTACCATATTCAGAGTGGCTCCTGTCAGCGGGGTTCACTTCCATCTCTGCCAAGAACTGTTTAATGGGCATTCCCTGAGTCGTCCCGACATTGGTAACTTCAGAGGAAGTGCAGTCAAAACATTCCCCCAAATTGTTTGTACCGTAGCTCTACAGAAGCTGTTCGAGGATAAAAGCCCTCAGTCGTTTTCCTCTTTGCCAACAACTCTCTTGTCTCCATGGCAGCCAGCGCTCTGTACCCTGTTTTCACTGGGAACACTTTGAATGCTTTTATTCTTTTTCGTGTTATTGAACCTTATTGAAGAAGTTCAAGCGTGTTAAGTGAGGTTAAAAAGTGTTGTGATACAGCATTGGTTTCATTTTTAAATAATCTTATTGAGTTTGCTTTATTTGATGCCAGCATATTTGGCAAAGTGTAGCAAGCATCAGTAGGAAAAACAGCTTTAGTTTTCACTTGGAAGCTACCGCTGCTACCTGTAGGATGAAACCTGAAAGAGATGAAATATGTAGAGAAGCTTGTTGATTGCATTACATTTTAGCAGAAGTGAATTTGAACATTTGCGGGAAGCTTTACAGTTGGCTGAATTGTCTCAGGGTGTGTAGTGTAACCTGGAAATGATTTATAAAATGATTTCATTCCTAAATCCTACCATTCTAGGTGATGATGTTTGCATGGAGTGAGTCTTCTTTATACTTTCTGTCAGAACTGTGACTCTCCTAAGTTGTTGCAGCAATATTTGGGTTGATACAGCTTGTTATACAGATTTGGTGCAAAATGTAATAGTTTTTTATTTTTATATAAATGGATCCCTCCATATTAACACACCAAGACAGGGAGAAGGACCATAGAAAAATCCATGCTGGGATTTGGTATCAAACACTTTTGATATTTGGAGATTTCTGCAAGAATTGCATTTTTCGGCGACTGGATGATGAGCACTTCTGTTCTGTAGACACCTCAGAAACTCCCTTATTGTCACTTATTGAAAGAAATATTGGACAGTAACGGCGGCGTTCTTGTTACGTACTTTCAAGAGAGTTGGACGGTTGATTATTTTTCGTGGCGTTTAATATGTTTTTTTTTGTCTAACCTGTAAGGACAAAGCTGCAGGTGTTCAAGATTATAAACTCAAAGCAAGAAAGGAAGAGTTTGAGATCAAATACTTGAAATATTTTGCTGAAACATGTTTCCCACTGAGCATTCAGCAGCCCCCTGGGAGCAAACAATCTGGCCAGTGTTGTACAAATAATTTGACTTTCAAACCAATCCTTCTGACCATTAAAAACTCTATTTGAATCTGTGTGTGTGTCCGCCAGAGACTGCTCTGTCCTTGGCAGTGCAGTGTGAGCCGGGTGGAGGTGAGGCTATCCGGGTCCTGGTGGAGGGAGGTGCTCACATTGACTTCCGCGCCAAAGATGGACTCACACCCGTACACAAAGCTGTGCGAGGCCACCGCCATACAGCCCTTCTGGTAAACATACACACGTTGTTGTCCTTTTATAGAAATGGTGTTTACAGGTAATGAGTTTTCATTGTCATGCCATAAAAGGCAAAAACAAACTTACACCAGCGTATGTACCTGCAAGATGGATACTTGCCCTGAAACTCATGCAGTATTATCTTCATTTGTGTTACTGTATAAGCAAACCAGAAGACTAATAAGCAGACCCTCCCACGCAGCAATCAACACCCAACCACACACAAAATGCACATGAATAAAGCAATCTATTATTCTGTTCAACCAAAAAGAATAAAAGGTGTGTATCACATTTCCATTTCAGGCATTTGTCCAGAACTTTAGCTCCCATATCGCCAAGAAGACAGGCACCTGTGGAGAAATAACTCATTCAGATGGAGATAATTGCATTTGTTCCATTACCAGTCCATATTTTCCACAAAGAAAAGAAACAACTGCTAAACTGCATAAAGATTTACTGCAGACTCTGATTTAATACTTAATGCTGTCTAGCCTGAGGTGTTGCATGACCTCTCTGATCCCCCGGCTATGTGTTCCTGTTCTGATTAAAAATCCCATGAATATTCTTCAGCTTGAAGTTGGAAACCACCTTAAGATATTTTTCCTTGATGCATTTTTATTTTATACTTTGTTATTCTCCATTATTGTTATAATTACTGCCAGCATTCGAGAATACAGAGGGTACAGAGGGTTTACTTTCTCTGCTGTCTTTCTGCAGGTCCTGCTGTCTCTGGGTGCGTCCCCGGACTATAAGGACCGGCGAGGGCTGACGCCGCTCTACCACACTGTGCTGACAGGGGGGGACACCTCCTGCTGCGAAACACTGCTTTACCACCACGCCAAACTAGGCATCAGGGACGAGAATGGCTGGGACGAGACACATCAGGTACCGTGCATCTTTAAAAGGGGTTTTCTGAGATTTTGGATAAATCAATTTAAGAGAATATAACACAGAAAGTATTTAATTAGGTTTAATTTTTTCTTGCTGTGCGTACACTTAATTCTACACTAAATCAACAGTTAGAGGATGCTCGAGGCAAAATCTTTCAATCTAATGGGGTCAGTGGCCTAATTTATGTCTATTTGGGGGTTGTGATCTGAAAGCACCAACAAGAAGTGCCTTGGGGTGTTTGGGTTGTTTGTATTGCACAAGTGTGCATGCATCCTATTTGTAATGTACCCGTGTACTCTGTGTTCCAGTGTCTGTGTATGTACAGCCTCTGCGTCTACGTCAAAAACCATTCATGCCATGAAACACTACACCTCTCTTCATTTATCTCGGACACCTTTCACCCTTCATCCCACCCGCCTTGCTTCTGTGGCCTCATATTCCAGCAGTGAAGTGGACAGGAAAAATCAAGGTATCAGCCTCTTCCTCTCAGTGTGATCCCCCACACTTCATCAGCATCTGTCTCTTTAGCTCTCCTAGCCACTCGTGGCCTCCATCTTATTCTGTCTCTGCGTGTGTTGAGTGGGCTTTGACTAGCATTGATAATGATAATCTTCTTTGGATTGGTTCCGTCATAAGCCTTTTTGAGTTGAGCTTTTTCACTTTTATTTGGATAAACTGTATATAATACTGAAGCAACCAACTAAGCCCAGTGATATTGCACTTCGAGGTTTCCCTCTGAAAGAAAATAATGGATGAGATGTTTTCTGAATTAACTATTTTGTTATATGGTGTTCATTGTCAAAGTTGTGTTGTCCCCTATCACAGGATGAAAGGGTGAAATCTTCATTCTTTAAAAGAAGTAGTCGACATATTGATTTGTATTGATTTACATCTATTACATCCAGTTATTGACCTAAAATAAGTTCAAGTGTCCAATGGAGAGTCTGATAGGAGTATTTAATGTGGCCATGGCATAGTTGATACATGAACATAAATTAAATAATAATAATAAGTACACAGTTTTGATTTCCACTGTTTGTGTGTGTCCATTTGATGATGGTTGTACCATTGTTATCATTGGATCTCACTTTTGTTCTCACTCATTCTCTCGCCCTCTGAGTTTGGAGGTGGTGTTAATTAAATGTGGTGTCACTTAATAACCGTCACCTTGTTCCTCTCTCTCTTTGTCACTGTCTATTCTTCATCATTGTCTGCTTCTCCGCCTCTCTGTTTTCTCTATCAAACAACCACATAAATCCTTCTTTTTTATCTCTTCGGTACATTTTCTTTTTACCTCCTTAACAAACTCTTTGCCTTTTCCACATGTACCTCTCCCCCTCTCTTTCTATCGCTCCTCTACAATCTGTTCATCCTCTCTCAGGCCTGTCAGCATGGTAACTCGCAGCATCTGGAGCACCTCCTCTTCTATGGTGCGGATTCTTCCTCCCAGAATGCCTCTGGAAACACTGCCTTGCACATCTGCGCTTTGTACAACAAGGTAGACAAACTTCATACAGAACAAATGTCAGCTGCAACAGAGTAGAGAAAATGAAACACCTTAAATCTTTTAACGTGCAGTGCAACAAAGTGAAAGCCACATAAATGCTCTTTATCTTTGCTATATAGATATTAAAGGAATACTACACAAGTCAAATTACCATTTGTTTATTAATTACTAACTCTGTTTTACCTTGAATTCTTGAAGAAAACATATTTTCTCTCATGCCTCCACAGTAAATGATGAATAGACAAATCAAGAAAAGTGTTGATGAATTCAAATAATTGGGGGCCGCCTTTAACAACAGCCAAATGATATGAAAATATCTGTTTACTAACTCTCACACAACTCGTGCAGTAAAAGCCAAGACTTTATTTCAAATCATCAAGACTTTTCTCATTTTTTTTTATTCTTCACCAGAAAAACAACATTTTCTTCGGGAATTTAAGGTAACAAGGGTTAGTAATTGAAATACAAATGCTCAATTTGTGGGTTTAGTATTCCTTTAAGCTGAATCTGTATATGTTCATTTAACTTGATTAAGTGTGAATAATATTGTTTACATATTTATCAACATATTTGTAACATCATCGCACAAGAAAACGCCCACAAAGTAAAAAGAAGGCAATACTGCTTTCTAAAGCCACTGCATACATGTGATCACATCACATGCATTTCTGCATTAAGCAGTAATTATACAGTTCATATTTTTGATTAATGTAAAGTGATCAGTGCTGTTTGTTGCAGGAAAGCTGTTCTCGAATTCTGCTCTATCGGGGAGCAAATAAAGACACAAAGAACAACAATGGGCAGACCCCCTTTCAGGTAGCGGCTGAGTGCTTGGCTGGGTAATTACGCATGTTGGGTGGTTGTATGGTTGAGTGTCTTATTAAGTTAACGTAGCAGAAAGTGCCAGGGCCTAATTTCACTTTAAACCATTATTGTGCTGTGATGCACACAGAGGTCCCAGGCGGCAGGATTGTGTGTGACCCCTTAATCTAAACATATTAACTCTGTCAGTGCAGAAAAAGCCAGCTGAGACAATCTGTTGTGTTTGTGTGTGCGGGAGAGAAAGCAAGAGGAGACAACAGGGAGAAAGCATTGGAATATGCCGGATTGTGTGCTGACCTGTGTAGTTTGTAAAACAAAAAGTTTAAAAGTATTTGTGCAATGGTGGAAATAATACAGATATATGGTCTCACACAAGAGTACCTATATGTGTTTGCTGTATTATCATTTTTCAAGAAAAAAGCCGTCCCATGTAAATGTTATTTTAAACATGCCATCAGGCTATGAATCTGGTTTCCATCACTTGTTAATTTGCCCTTAGAGGCTTAGAGTTTAGAGCATGTTGAAACGACAGAAGATATTAACCCATATAGATGCCTACTCTAATTACAAGAGAACTAGTAAACAGTTCTACTGTTCTACTATTTTGTGCATTCAGTTGCCATGTAACTGTATCCAAAAAGATTGCATGTGTGCTTTTACCAGGTGGCGGTTATGTCCGGCCATTTTGAGCTGGGAGAAATCATCAAAAACCACCGGGATACAGATGTGGGTAAGTAACGGAGGCTTGGATATGTGTTGTGTCCTGTAATGTTAGACGTTTTGTTGATCTAAAATGATACATTGGATCTTCACAATCGGAATTAGGCTTTGAATCAACAAGTTAAAGGGAGCATCGATGAAAAGTAGAATATAAGGACTATAGTCTAGCATCACTACAGCATGTTGGAATTTAAATTATAAAGAAAAATAGATTATGAAGCTGTGCAAAATATGAGAAGTAAGAAAGAAAACAAATCTGAAATACTGTTAAATAATAATAATGTTCACCTCACTTCTCGCATTACAGTTCCCTTTGTGGAGTCTCCAAAGTACGCCCCCCAGAGGCGGGAGAGCACCCGTACTCTGACAATACCCCACCCTCATCCTTTCCTCCGGGCCAACAGTGACAGCAGCATGAACTTGCCAGACTGGATGGCAGTGCCCAACGCCCCAGGGACCAACATCGTCTCTGTGCAGGTTTGTATGTGTGTGTGTGTGTGTGTGTGTGTGTGAGTGTGTGTGAAAGAATGTTCAAAGTTTTCTTGACACTGGAAACAGCAGACTCAATCAGATGCAATCTCACCTTTAACGTCTATTTAGTGGTTGTTCTAGAGCTTTCATATAGATCACACAGTCATCATCAGCAGATTGGGTTTGCTTTGAATGTAGATGTTTAAACCTGCAGATCCTGAGCACCTGTAGGACTTCTCATCTATGTTGAAGTTCCAAGTGTTCTGGAGCTTTTGACCGCTAAAAATAATTTTAATTTACTCCCCAATGGATACCTACACACATTACTGTTATTGTTATTATTACAAAAATAATGTTTGATTGGATTTGATTGACTAACTCAGATAATGGATTTTATCCATTGTATTACAAAATTTGAAGGGACATCATACAAAGTAATGGATGGCTTTTATCAACATCTAGTGGTGAACAACACTCATTGCAGCAACTTATATCTTGCTTTAGTGCATAAGCTATCCATGTTCATGTGTTTTAGTTATGGCCAATGTAGCAAATAAGTGATCATGCTCAGTAATACCCCATAAACATAGACCGTGAAATAAATCTACATAGTTTATGAGACATTTTATTACATTGCATGCATTTTATTATATTGCATGCATTTTATTATATTTATCATTGTGAACACAATGAGCTCTTGAAGGCACAGTCAGTGGCATTAGGAGGGTTTCTATAGATAATGAAAGATATGGAAGTGAGAAAAAATGTTAAGTTGTCAGAGCGACAGAGAAGAAGATACTGTAGTTAATACACAGAAGTTAGTTCCAGTAGTCATTAAATAATACAGAAACCTGAAATATAAAAAACATAAACAATATACAGAAATCAACTCCGTTAAGCACAACTTATATCATACAGCATGCAGCTGCTATCATATGAAATGATCACATTGATTCTGTCATACTGTTAGCATCTTTCATGAAATATGTTTTCTCCCCTTCCTCTCCCTTCATCTCCCTGTCTGTCCCTCTCAGGGCTACAAGCATACAGGAACCCTGCGGAGCTCCAGCAGTCCCAGAGGGGCGAGGACGCGTTCTCCATCCCGAGGAAGGATCGGAGACAAGGAGGATCGAAGCAGGCAGAGTCGGAGACAGGGGTGAGTGGCAAACGCTGACATCTGAGAAAAAGAACCTCTCTTCCACTTTTCTAACTTTGGAATATTGTAGGTTCATCTAGGCTGGTTAAAGGGATAGTACAGATGTTGTGTACTGGTGTTGTATCAGGTACTTCATTTAATTCAATTAATTTTATATTAAAGGGACCATGTACAGTATAAAACATAAATGTCACCATACCAGATTATAACCCTTACTCCTGTCTGCTTTTCCAAACTGGGGTTTGCTGTACCATGCACTGACTATGGATAAGTACCTCATACAACGCCGCTTCAAACCCCCCCTTCAAGTACTTTTGAGACTTTCCACTGGATGTCTGTAGGTCCCAAAAGAGCCCTTAAAATGCGTTAAAGTGAATTACCTGAGTCAAGGTCTTAAAGGTCATAAAGTTTTAGTCTAAAATATGGTTTCTTCTTTGGTCTTCAAATGTATTTTTGTCATGCAAGCAATCATCTTCGAGTGAGAAATGGTCTTGTAGGGTTGGGTTAGCAGAAATCTCAGGCTGACTTATAAAAAGTTTTTATTATATATTTTATTTGTATTATTATGTATATATATTACTTCTGATAAGGGGAATTCAATATCTGTTAAGTGAGTGTACAAAGTTCATAAATTAAACCACTAAAATGTGACCTGATAGAAAATCCTGACTGTTAAAGCACATTTTGGATGACTGGCTAAAATCCTCAAATTTCCAGTTATCTTTCTCTCATAAAAAAAACATATGTATATATTGCATTCAGTAATTTAGTCCGATACCTTTAGGGAGCTTTGAGTTTTAAACTTCAGTCTCAAATTATACGCTGCACTTCCTGCTTCCTACCACCCAGGCCTGCTCCTGCCAGCGTAGCTGCACAAACCGCAGGTCAGCGAAGACGGCTCTACAGCGCTGTCCCAGGACGAGTCTTTGTAGCTACTCGATCACACTCTGCCCAGGGAGAGCGAGAAATCAGCTTCAGTAAAGGAGACAGGGTCAAAGGTGAATATGTGCATTTTCATGTCATGATACACAATGTGTGTGTGTGTGTGTGTGTGTGTGTGTGTGTGTGTGTGTGTGTATGTGCTGGAGCATAATACTGCTTTTTGTCTTCCTTTGTAATTGGGAGTCAGTGTTTGTGAGGCTGTTTACACCTGGTAGGCTACTAATCTCCACATGAATCACACAGACAGCTTTGACATCCACACACTTGTAAAAGTTCATTGAATGCACATTCAGAAACATGCAAAGCAGCATCACAGACACTTTTTAAAAGATGTTAATGTATCAAAAGGTTACATGTGCAGAACCCCTCTCTGTGTATGGCTCTGGCATGGCATATACTGTAGGTCCTTATAAAATAAGAGCTGCTGACTGCAGGGGTTTACCAATTGAGATTTAATTGCAGTTTTTAAGCTAAAATCATTTATCTAACTGATCAAATATTTTCAACACAAAGGGGGATGTTGCATTAATTTAGTAATCCACTGACCACAACACCATGCCAACACTAGACTAAAACAAACACGGCCCAGTTGTACCATTGGTCTATAAAGGTATTATGGCAAAAGTCTTACCGAACAAATGCCTACTTACACAGCTAGCAGACATGGGGATGCCATTTGAGCATCCCATTGACGTTTTATTTATAGCCACCTGACTAATATAAGTCCAGTACTCAGTCTTCTTTTAACTGGTACAGCTTTTCTGCATTTTGGAAAACCAAAACAACAACTGTGCTAAAAGATGCAGAGTTTGTAGTACTAGTCGCAACCCTTTCACATTTATTCAAGCTTAAGTATATTGTTGAGCATTCCAACCAAAAACTACATAAGGGTGGACTTCTATCCTACAAAGCTACTCATGAAGCCACAACCTGCCATTGTTACACTTCGATATGTGAGCTTTTGAGGTGCTAGTAGATTTATTTTGTTACATTCGGACAGAGCCAGGCTAGGTGCTCAGTCATTAAGCTAAGCTAAACAACTGCTGGATGTGACTTTAAATTTAACACACAGATATGACTCCCAGCAACAAAGGGAATAAACATATTTCCCAAAATGTCAAACATAAAAAAACAAAAATACTATTGGAAAATGTTACTCAAACCTGACAGGCTATGCTTATTAAGGAGACATAGAGTATCAGTCTCAGAGACAGACCAGTACCCAGGTCAGATCCAAGTGTCTTTATATGAGTTTGTAAAATGGCCATGTCCTAACATGAGTGTAAGGTCTCTATATATGTTTGTATTCAATGTCTGCAGGTATGAATATGTGTGTGTTTGTGAGTGATACTAAGGTGTCGCCAGGTATGTATGTCTTGGTGAGTATGTAGGCGGTTTGCATGTCCGTGTGTCTACATTTGATTTATTGTCTGTCTGTATAATGTTGTTGTCTTTTTGCGTCTGTTTATTTGTCATGGTGTTTGTGGTGGTGCGTGTTGTGTTGCTTCTTCCTGATATGCTGCTCTTTCCTGACCCCCCCTCTAGTGTTGAGTGTTGGCGAGGGCGGGTACTGGGAGGGAACGGTCAGGGGTCGCACAGGTTGGTTCCCCTCTGACTGTGTGGAGGAAGTGATGCTCCGAAGCCAAGACAACCGATCAGGTGATCAGCACCAGTCACACACACTCACAGGCAAACACACACACACACACACACACACACACACACACGCACACACACACACACACACACACACAGGGCTTATTATATACCTGCTATATAATAAGCCTTGCGAATAGATTAAATGTAGCTGCAACCATGCTGATATCCCTGTGATTTTGTGTTTCAGAGAGCCGTGGAGAACGAGCCAAAAGGCTGTTCCGCCATTACACTGTGGGATCCTATGATAGCTTTGACGCTCCCAGGTAAGAGTTACTGTACTTTGCCAGTTGCCAAAACTGATGTACAGCAAACTGAAGCCAGTTTTATCCAAAACAAGCAGCCACCTGCGCAGATTCTCGAAGCAGCAGGGGCAAAAACTGGATAAGGGGCTCTGCTTCAGCTCACAGAGTTAAGGGTACAGTAGGGTTCATTTAGGGTAAGGTCACTCCAGAATGGTACCAGAGAGCTATTTGAGCTGAACACAGGGGCACTTTGGGGCACTTGGGCTGACAAAAGAGGCATTTGGATGCTTCAGTGCCTGTTTGATGTGACATTAGGACCAGAATGAAGCATGAAAGTATCCCATTATGACAAAGACACATCCTGGTTAAATGAAGGTCAAGGGAAGGGCAGCTTGACATTCAGATTACTTCTCTACTGCGGCAAAAAGGGGCTTAACGCTTGGCTAAATAGTATGGTGTAGCTTGTCCATCCGCCCAGTGGGTACTGCAAATCAAACGGACGGCCTTTTCATTATGACCCTGCTTCTCCAATGTTTAGACACACAGCACGTGTTGAGAGGGGATTTGTTTGTACAGGAACATGCTGTATACATCGTTTCAGATAAGATGATTCATGTAGTGATTCATGCGTTCCAGTGGTGCTTTGATTTGTGTGATGCGATGTGTTGCGAGTGATTCATGTGGGAGGATGACGATGTGAGGGTTCACCGCCTCAGGTCTAGAAGCTGATCTGTCTGCTTTCATACTGGAGTTATCCTCAAGGATGCACATGTTTACCAGCTGTGTTTTGACTGGCTGGTTTAGTTTAGTTTAACCTGGGCAGACAGGCAGGTCTTTGTCACATCAGGATTTTAGAGTAAGTTTCGTCCTTTGTGTGTCTGCGTTTTGGCTTTGAGTTGCAAAGCTGCATTGTGGGGGGCGGCAATTTTAAGGTTAGCTGAACTTGTCGGTGATGGTGAACAATCAAACCACTCTGATGACTAAGATCTATTGACACTTGAGGGAAAAACTCTCCTGTATTGACTTTGAGAGTGTGACTTCTCCTCATTTACTCAGCCTAATACATTTCATTTTCAAATGTCTTGAACCTGTAAAAAGGCGAGCACGGCATCGCTTTGAGGCAAACTCATTTCAGTGTCCATGACTTGGACTGAGCAATGAGAGAATTATTTACATAGAAATAAAGCCATTATCAATCGCATGTATTATTTACATGAAATCCCGCCTTTCCCTCGTTTTTCGTTCTCTTGCTCATCATCATTCTTTATCATTCAAGCCTGCTTTTTTTCTTTTCATGTTTTCCTTTCACCTTATCTCCATCTGTAACTGTGTTTCTCTCATGCACATGCACACAGTATCATTTATTATTAACATGCTTTTCATCAACAGCGACATTTAATGCAAGCAACGCACTCAGCCATGCAAACTCACACACATTATGTTTGACACGCATGCTACACACACACCATGGATATTTAAAACCGTGCACTGCAGCATAGATGGAGCCCAAAACTATTTGTTTGGCCAGGCAGGCTGGCATGGCTGACTCAGAACCGCCCTCACATAGGCCTACTTTCACAGCCTTTATCACTACATGTAATATCTCATGTATCCCTCCTTTAAGTCCTCCGTATTTGGCCACATCTCCCAACCATCTCTGCGTCCCTCCTGTGCTTTCTATTCATCACGGTATTGCTAACCCTCCTGTACTGTTTAATTTTCTTTCTATCACCCTCTCTCCCCTGTGGTGTCTCCATCTGGAGGTCAAACAGTGAAGGGCACTCTAAAGGGAGAGCAGGGCTGAAGAGAGGGATGAAGAGGTTGGATGAAGGGAGAAGGGCATTCTGTGTTTATAAATGGGTAAAAACAGACATATGCATTGTTTTTTGTGCAAGCAACAGGGGGCCAAAGCAGGTTAGAAGAAAGTGTGAAGAAGGATGTCCTCTGCCATGTTTTAACTTTTTTTCCATATGATGCTAATTACATTCTTTATTAGGGATGGTAATGTCAGTATACAACTATCGGATGGATTTCCATTGCCAAATATTGTACTGACATCCCAGACAATAAATCCTTATGATGTCTATGATCCCCTGACTTTTCATCTAATGACAAAAGGTCAAAATTGTTATTCCTTCTTTCTAAAATGACATAGTTTTGCTTTAAGGCTTGAATCTGGTATAGTCACAATGAAATAGTTTTGAAATAAACATGGACTGGCTCCATTTTTTTGAGAAGCCCATATTGGTCCGTCTCTAATAAACAGAGTCATCTTATCTGCCACTCTCTGATCCTCGCCTTCTTATTGGCAGCTGGATATATTTGGTAGCCTGGCTTTTAAAGCACAGAACAAGCCGTGACATTAAAGCAAGGCGTGATAACCAAAACCCGGCAGTCAGTGAGATGAACTACCTTAACTTGCAAATGCAATGTGGCAATTACAATAATGAGAACACAAGGTGTGAAGGATATGATGACTTAGGAACAACAGTGACAATTGACGGACAAATGGAGAACTTTTATGCACGTCTGCTACACCCCTCTCTGCAGATGTATTTCATACACCCCACATGTTTGTATTGGTCCTACCTACGTTGCATCTTTCTTCCCCTCTGCTCCTCCTCCTCGAACCCAGACAGGATGGCTGTATTGATGCTCCACAACTTTTCCTTCCATGGTATAAATGTCTTCAACAGCCAAATTCAGTTCGGTGAAAATATCTTCAACCACTCAGGTCTGTTCTGTAAGCGTTTAGTTGTAGAGAAAAGTTTCTACCTTTGCTGTTTTAGCAACATGATCTCATCAGATCTCTGTGTCATTGCCACAGCTCAGATGCTGCGATTAAACTCTACACAATCTGTACATGCTGCTGCTCCTCTCCCGGCCCACATGAGACCCTTTTTGGGCCAACATTGGGTCACATAAGGACAAGCGAGCACACAGAGTTTGGAGGAGAGATGCAGAACACCCTGCTAAACACTGCTGCGGTGGTTAGGTGTGTCTACTGAGACACATGCCTTGCTTTTTGCTTGTGCATAGGCAACATAAAGTCTTCTTATTTGATTTTTCATATTTCTCCAACATGTAGGACTTCACTTTATCTGACTTTATGCTGAAATTTGCAACAACAGAAAGACAAACGCATTAAAGAGTGTGTGTTCAGGTTTGGCCATTGTATGAAAGAGATGCACACACAGTACAGGACGCATTAGGCAGACATGCAGATACACATAATCACACAATAATGTGGACCTTCTGTCAACGCTTGTTTCCTGCTCCTCCCCCTTCTCTCTCTCTCTCTCTCTCTCTCTCTCTCTCTCTTTCTCCCTCTCCCTCTCTCTATTTCCCTCTCTCTCCCCCCCTCTCTCTCCCTCTCTCTCTTCCTCTTTCCTTCATGCCCTCTCTTTATCTCTCTCTCTTCACACATGCATGCACACACAAACACACACACACTGTACACAGAATCACAGCGGTATAGCCTGACATGCAGGGAGAAAAACAAAAAGGCAGAGATGTGAGAAGAGAGGGGACAAGAGCTGTGATCATCCTCGAATGCAGGAGGGAGGCAAGAGAAAGATACGTAGAGGAAAGGAAGGAGGGAGGGAGGGCAAGTCGACGGAGGACAGCTTCGACATACATGGAAGGAGGCTCTGACTAAGAGATGATGTGAGTGGCTATTTGAGAGAATCTGTACTCTCTCTCTCTCTCTCTCTCTCTCTCTCTCTCTCTCTCTCTCTCTCTCTCTCG